CCCAGTGCAGAGGTGACAGACAGCCCAGGGCAGCTGTGGCCACAGCCAAAGCCAGCACCACGGTATTTATGTATATACTTATATATTTATTCAAAGATAAAGCAGCATTCTCCCTTCACATGGTAATCGGGGGAAAAAACACCCCCCAGCCAGCCCTGCAGCTATAAGTATAGATAATAATGGCTTTAAACTGAAGGAAAAAGGTTTAGGTGGAATATTAGGAAGAAATCCTTTCCTGTGAGAGTGGTGAGGCACTGGCACAGAGAAGCTGTGGCTGTCCCTTCCCTGTTAGTGTTCCAGGTCAGGTTGGAAAGGGCTTGGAGCAACCTGGGCTAGTGGAAAGTGTCCCTGGGTGGAACTGGATGATCTTCAAATCCCTTTCCACCCAAACCATTCCAGGATTCCATGAAACACATCACTCTGCACCTGCTCTAGGAGCTGCCCTGCCTAAAAACCTCATTTTATGTTTAGAAGGTGGTTCTAAAACCAGCCCAAGATGAAAGCCCATGTGCTGCCCTCACGCAGCACCACACCAGGGCACTGCACACAGTTCCCATGTCCTGGGGAGCTGACAAGACCCTCCAAGCTTGGAGCTGGAATAATCAAGGCATCTTTCCCTGTTCTCCTGTGCTGCAGCGATGCTGAGGGGTGTCACAGCACCCCAAACCCTCCCAGCCCAGGCCACCCCTCACCTTGGTGACCTGCAGATCCCCAATGTTCAGCTTGAGGGCCCCAATGGCTGTTTTGCAGAGGATCACGGCCTCGTCACTGCTCTTCACCTGCAGGGACACAGGGACCTGTCACACAGTGTCACCAGCAGCCAGGTGTGCTCTGGATCCTGAGACAGGGCTGGATGCACTTCACTTATCACATTCCTCCTGGGAACTCCCCTCAGAGCTGTTCCCTGAGGGAAGAGGCAGGTGTTCTCCAGCACAGGTGTCGCACACACACACCTTTGTCAGAAGCAGTGTAAGCACACTGTGAGGGTCCTGAGGCCAAAGCCTCCACCATATTATTTATGTACATGTTTTTATATACATTTATTTTAAAATAAAGCAGCATTCTCCCTTCACATGGCAATGAAGGGAAAAACCCACCCCCAAGCCAGCTCTGCTGAGAGGAAAAGGGTTAGATTAGATTTTGGGAAGAAATCCTTCCCTGTGAGAGTGCTGAGGCACTGGCACAGGTTGCTCAGAGAAGCTGTGGCTGCTCCATCCCTGGAAGTGCTCATTCCAGGTTGGACAGGGCTTGGAGCAACCTGGGCTGGTGGGAGGTGCCCCTACCCAGGGCAGGGGGTTGGGACTAGATGATCTCTAAGGTCCATTCCAACCCCTTACCAGTCTATAATTCGATGAAAATGATTCCTGCAGGTGAAGTGCCACACAGAATAACCTCAAACATACCTTTTCCCGAGTCTTTTCCAGAAAAGTCAGGGCCACATTGGGATCTGGAGGAGAGGGGGAAAAAACCAGATTAGCAAAGCAGAGGTACCAGAAACTCCCATGGAGCTAAACCTCACATACAAATACATCTTTTCCTGCAGCAGGTGCTGCCAGGCAGGATGAGTTTTGCTCGTCAGTCACTTCTCTAGGGAAGCTGTGATCTTCCTACTCTATATTTAACTCCTTAAGTCAGTGCTTTCCCTTCTCAAGGCACCAGACAGACAACCACATCAAGGATTTACCTGTCTCTGGTCACATTCCATAGGGATCAGGTGCTAAAAACTGGACACTCACCTGTCATCTGCCTCACCACGTGCAGGATGATCTCCACCAGGGACAGGGGGTTCACCCTGCAAGGAGCAGCTCAGAGTCAGCACAGGCTCAGACACTACAGGTACCCCCAAGGCCCCAGGAACACACTCACCTGTGCTCAAACTCACTGATGAAGTTCTCATAGAGCTGTGGGGACAGGGACAGGGACAGTCAGGGCAGAGAATATCCCAATCCTGCTACAACAGGTGCTTCTCACTCTATTTCCACTCTATTCCAGCTCATTTGAACATCCCTGGAAGTGTTCCAGGCCAGGCTGCAGCAACCTGGGCTAGTGGAAGGTGTCCTTGCCCATGGCATGGGGTGGGACTGGATGAGCTTTAAGGTCCCTCCCAACCCAAACCATTCCAGAATTCTGATTTTTCCAACAAATTGTACATCCAAAACAGAAATTCCTGCGCTGTCCAGAACACAGAAGCCCAAAACTGTTCATTTCAGAGAAAATTATCCCCACGGCCTCCTTCCAGCTGCGAGGAGGGGCCCAAGTGAAACATCTCTGAATACCCAGCACTCCATCCTGCATTTGGAACCCCTTGTTACAAAAGGGAATGAAAAATAATCCATCTGCACCTCCCAAAAATCTTAAGTAAATCAAAGTGAAAAATGACTTTGAAGGTTATAAATTGAGACATTTAATTTTAGCAGATTGTTCACACCTTCAGGCTCACATGGGGCAAATACCCTGGGAGCTGAGTCCACCTGTTTGGTAATTCTCCAGGAGAATTAGGGAAGGGAGAAACCTCAGGCTGAGTTTTCCCTGGCACACAAACCCCATCCCTGTGTCATGGGAAGATCCAACAGCTCACCTTGATAAGCCCATCTCCCTGGGCAAAGCAGGGGTCCTGCACAAAGTCTAAGACTTGCAGAGTCAGCTGGTGCCACAGCCTGGGGACACAAAACACCCCCCTGTGAGACCACACTGCACCACAGTCCCACTGTGTCACCTGAGCCCAGCCACCCCCTGCACACTTGTGTGTCCCATCAAGCCCCCCAGAGTCACCTGGGCATGGACATCCCTATGTCACCTGAGCCCAGACACCTCCTGCACTCCTCTGTCACCTGAGCACTACCACCTCCTACATCTCTGAGTCACCCGGCCACAGCCCCCCTGCACATCTCTGTGTCACCTGGGCACAGCCCCTCCTGCACACCTGTGTGTCCTCCAACAAACTCCTGTGTCACCTATGTCACCTGTGCTCAGCCACCTCCTGCACCCTCTGTCACCATAAAACTTCCACCCCCTGCACACTTGTGTGTCACCTGCTGATCCCTCCCTGTGTCACCTGGGCATGGGCTTCCATGTGTCACCTGGGCACAGCCCCCCATGCACCTACAACCCAATGTCACCTGGGCACAACTCCCTCCATGCAACGTGTGTCACCTGGGCATAGCCTCCCATGCCCACCTGTGTGTCACCTGTTGAGCCCCCGGTGCCACCTGGGCAAAGCAACCTCTATGTCACCTGTGTCACCTGGGCACAGCCCCCTGCACATCTCCGTGTCACCTGAGCACAGCCCCCACGTGTCCCCTGTGCACAGCCCCTCCCGCACCCCTGTGTGTCCCCCCCTGCCCCCGCAGCCGCGGGGCCTGACGAGCGAGGAGCGAACCGGCAGTGCTGCGCACCCCAGGCACAGAGTCACCCCATGGGGATCCCCTGCACGGCCGCGCTTGAAACCTCGTGGGTACA